TGGAAAAGGCATATGACAGGGTGGATAGCAGGGCAATATGGCAGATGTTGCAGGTATATGGAATAGGAGGTAGGTTACTGAAAGCAGTGAAGAGTTTTTATGAGGTTAGTGAGGCTCATGTTAGAGTATGTAGGAGAGAGGAGATTATTTCCCAGTAAAAGTAGGCCTTAGACAAGGATGTTTGATGTTATTGTGGTTGTTCAATATATTTATAGATGGGGTTGTAAGAGAAGTGAATGCACGGGTCTTGGCAAAAGGTGTGGGGTTAAAAGATAAAGAATCTAACACAAAGTGGGAGTTGTCACAGTTGCTCTTTGCTGATGACACTGTGTTTTTGGGAGATTCTGAAGAGAAGTTGCAGAGGTTGGTGGATGAGTTTGGTAGGGTATGTAAAAGAAAATTAAAAGTGAATATAAGAAAGAGTAAGGTGATGAGGATAACGAAAAGATTAGGTGATGAAAGATTGGATATCAAATTGGAGGGAGAGAGTATGGAGGAGGTGAATGTATTCAGATATTTAGGAGTGGACGTGTCAGCAGATGGGTCTATGAAGGATGAGGTGAATTATAGAATTGATGAGGTAATAAGGGTGAGTGGTGCACTTAGGAGTCTGTAGAGACAAAGAACTTTGTCCGTGGAAGCAAAGAGGGAATGTTTGAGAGTATAGTTATACCAGCACTCTTATTGCTTTTATTGCAACAAGGAGAAGGTTTGAGGCAGTGGAGATGTCATGTCTGAGGGCAATGTGTGGTGTGAATTTAATGCAGAGAATTGATAGTTTGGAAATTAGGAGAAGGTGCGGATTACCAAAACTATTATCCAGAGGGCTGAGGAGGGGTTGTTGAGGTGGTTCAGACATGTAGAGAGGATGAAACAAAATAGAATGACTTTGAGAGTGTATAAATCTGTAGTGGAGGGAAGGCGGGGTAGGGGTCAGCCTAGGAAGGGTTGGAGGGAGAGGGTAAAGGAGGTTTTGTGGGCGAGGGGCTTGGACTTCTAGCAAGCATGCGTGAGCGTATTTCATGGGAGTGAATTGAGACAAATGGCTTTTAACCCATAAACGGTCCAAACATATACGTATATACGTTCTTACCACTAGTGCCCCAAATGTAGATATACGTTTTATTTTTCCTTCCTCCAAATTTGGCACGATTGGCCTGAGATGCCTGGTCATCATAGAATGGGTCTTAACACTTGGTGTGCACAGTATTCAAAAAATATGGGACCACTTAGTACCTTGTGGGAGCATCAGTTAAATTGAGCGCCAGCTAGAGCAAACAGCGCAGCAAACACTAAGGATTCACTGATGTCACGTCGTATTAATACTCCCCTTTTAAGAGGAAAGTGATGTTGACCCCAAGTTTAGTGGCTTTGAGGTGGATGTGGCCACAAGTGGTCATGGAAATATAAAAAAACATTGATAACACATGTGCAGCATTTGTGCAACACCCTTTCAGTTTTGGTACCACTGGTAGTCATCCTACCAGAATGTCCTCTAACCTATGCGCTCAGTAAAAAGAAACAATTCCGGAATGTATAATACGTGTTCGGCAGGCTGGTTGGCTGGCTGATTGGCTGTCTCTATCTCCATCTGTCTGTCTGTATCTATCTCTATCTTTTTGTCTCTATCTCTGTCTCTATCTGTCTCTATCTCACAGGAACACATACATAAATATAATTATACATATTGTAAATTACCTAGGATAACCCAGAAAATCCAGACAAAGTGCTATTACCTGGAGTTTACCTGGAGAGAGTTCCGGGGGTCAATGCCCCCGCGGCCCGGTCTGTGACCAGGCCTCCTGGTGGATCAGAGCCTGATCAACCAGGCTGTTGCTGCTGGCTGCATGCAAACCAACGTACGAGCCACAGCCCGGCTGGTCAGGAACCGACTTTAGGTGCTTGTCCAGTGCCAGCTTGAAGACTGCCAGGGGTCTGTTGGTAATCCCCCTTATGTATGCTGGGAGGCAGTTGAACAGTCTCGGGCCCCTGACACTTATTGTATGGTCTCTTAACGTGCTAGTGACACCCCTGCTTTTCATTGGGGGGATGTTGCATCGTCTGTGCTTGTAGATAGTGATCGTGTGTAATACCAGTTGGTTCATGAGCAACTCTCTGAGAGAAGAGAGACAAGCAGACAGAAAGAATGAGACACACAGGCATACAGAAAGACAGACATACAGAGAGATAGACAGAGAGCTAGACAAACAGAAAGACAGACATATACAGACATGTTTGTGTAACAATGAAAACAAATAAAGTGAAGGCAGTGTACCCTCATTCATCAGTTGTCACCACTGTCATTAGTGGAGTGATAAGATAAGATAAGACGATGCTCATCAAATATCACCACTGTCAGCAGTGGAGTGATAAGATAAGACAGTGACACGCGTCTTACATCATGCTTCAAGGGAACTTATTATTATTATTATTCACTATCATTATTATTATTGTTATTATTATTATTCTTATTATGCACTATTTATTTATTAATTTCAACATGATACAGAGAAGTACAAAGGAATACAGTTATTAAAGTGCAACTATCATCAAATGTCACTCCACTGCTTACCTTGTCAGCAGATAAGTTACACTCGTCATAAACACCATGCTTCAAGAAGTTTCATATATACATTGGACCCCTGGTATTCGATATTAATCCGTTCCTGGGAGCTCATCGAATACCGAAAATATCGAAAACTGAATCAATTTTCCTCATAAGAAATAATGGAAATCAAATTAATCCATGCAAGACACCCAAAAGTATGAAAAAAAAAAATTTACTAAATGAAATATTAAGTTTAATGCAAAAGAATAATTACAATAACAAAACAATTGACACTTACCTTTAATGAAGATCTGGTGATGATTGATGGGATGGGAGGAGGGGAGAGGTGTTAGTGTTTAGAAGGGGAATCCCCTTCCATTAGGACTTGAGGTAGCAAGTCCTTTTCCGGGGTTACTTCCCTTCTTCTTTTAATGCCACTAGGACCAGCTTGAGAGTCGTTGTTAAATTAGACACATGTGCAACTCTTGGGTATCTTTATTGAGGAAACGTTTCACCACACAGTAGCTTCATCAGTCCATATGTAGGAGAAACTTGAAGAACAGGAGAATGAGGTAATCAGTCTCTCAACCTTGAGTCGATGTGGTCAGTCCATCAATCTTGAATATTCTATTCAAGATTGAATATTCTATTCAAGATTGAATATTCTATTCAAGATTGATGGACTGACCACATCGACTCAAGGTTGAGGGACTGATTACCTCATTCTCCTGTTCTTCAAGTTTCTCCTACGTATGGACTGATGAAGCTACTGTGTGGCGAAACGTTTCCTCAATAAAGATATCAAAGAGTTGCACATGTGTCTAATTTAACAACATGTTGGTTCTTTGAACCATTCATCTACAAGCTTGAGAGTCACTGGACTTCTGTCGCACAACATAACTGGCAGCCTCACCATGCCTAATCACACTATGTATTTCACTACGATTCTGTAATCTTTCAAACCAACCTTTGCTGGCCTTAAATTCACTCACATCACCACTAGTTGTAGGCAATTTCTTTACCAAATCGTCATGCAACTGCCTAGCCTTTTCACAAATGATCGCTTGAGAGATGCTATCTCCTGCTATCTGTTTTTCATTTATCCACACCAATAATAATCTCTCAACATTTTCTAACACTTGCGGTCACTGTTTCGTAATCACAGTTGCACCTTTTGCAAGAACAGCTTCCTTGATTGCCGTTTTCCTGGTCACTATAGTAGAGATGGTTGATTGGGGTTTATTATACAACCTAACCAGCTCTGAAACACACACTCCACTTTCGTATTTTTGCAATTATCTCTTCCTTCATTTCATAAGTCATTAGCGACTTTTTTCTCGAAGGGTTGGCACTAGAAGCTTTCTTGGGGCCCATGGTGACTTATTTTGCAGAAACAAGCACCAACCACAGTGATAATATGGAATGTACCGAATGTATCCTTAGATGCGCGCACACTGGCTGGCTTGTAAACACTGGCACACATGGGGCAGTTCAGGACACACGTGGACAGGTCTCGTACGAATCATATCGAATACCGAGGAAAATTTTTTGCGATATAATGCATCAAATACCGGATTTATCGAATACCGATCCCATCAATCATCACCAGATCTTCATTAAAGGTAAGTGTCAATTATTTTATTGTTATTGTAATTATTCTTTTGCATTAAACTTAATATTTCATGTAGTAAAATTTTTTTTTTTCATACTTTTGGGTGTCTTTCACGGATTAATTTGATTTCCATTATTTCTTTTTAGGAAAATTGATTCGGTTTTCGATATTTTCGGTATTTGATGAGCTCTCAGGAACAGATTAATATTGAATACTGGGGATCCACTGTAATATAAAAACGAGAAAAAAAGGTATATCGGCAACACTTCTGCAAGTGGCAGAACTTGATGTTGCCATCAGGTGAGCATCCAGTGCCAGCTTCGTATATCAGTAAATATTGACTCTAAATTTTTTTTTTTTTATCCTACGACACTTAGTAAAATGCACTCTTTATTTCTATTAATTTTTTTTTTTTTTAAATATTCAGGGCGCTGGGCGAGAGAACATATTTATACGTTTGAATCATTTACAGGTTAATACTTGACGTGCTTTTGGAGTGTGAGCAAAGTAACATTAATGAAGGGATTCTGGGAAACTGGCAGGCCGGACTTGAGTCCTGGAGATGGGAAGTACAGTGCTGCACTCTGAAGGAGGGGTGTTAATGTTGCAGTTTTATAACTGTAGTGTAAGCACACCTCTTGCAAGACAGTGATGAAGTGAATGATGAAAGTTTTTCTTTTTAGGGCCATCCTTCCTTGGTGGGAATCGACCGATGTGTTAATAAAAAAAATAACCTAGGGAATGCAAAATATCAGAAAAACTGAGTGGCTAGGTTTTTCATTCTTCAGCATCACCATATGTAGTCACATAACATCTAAGCAGCATTATTCATTTTACCAGAGTCGTCAGGTGGCCTCTGTTGGACGTGTTGCATGTGAGGACTGTGCCAAGGAGTTCACCGATGCATCTGTCTTCCGTGCCCATTACCTCACTCACACACATCCCTTTCATTGTTCATGTTGTAATCATAGATTTCGGACACGTGTTGGATATGGTAAGTTTAATGACAATACTACGCTATTCATTTTTTATGCATGTGCAGCTCTTTATATATTTTTAACTTGATTAATTCTTGGGATTTGGATCTTATTATTTGGGAATCGTTTACTCAACTGTAGTTTACCTGTGATTGGTCTCAATCCAACCTAACTAATGCCAAACTTTCATGGTGACTACCTGATCAGCCAGGTTATTACTGGACTGTTTGCAGCTAACATGAATATGTTTCCAACACATCCCAGCTAGTCTGGCATAAATGTAGTGTTTATTTACTGTTAACTGGTAGTATCACAAGTATCTTATCTTACTTGCAAAAATTCAGATCCCATTTACAGTAGACCAGTGTATAAAACACATTATGTAGCACATTGTGGCATAAATTTGTATAGGACACCATAAAACTTGTTTAAGATGCCTTAAATTTTTTTGAAAATATAACACACCACAGGACCTTTCCTCTCCATCTTGCAGCTCAGCCTACAAGCATGGGTATTGTCTTTATGGTGAAGGTCTAGTCTTACACTTAGCCATTTAGCTATGTTCAGTGTACTAGTATACAGGTGATGACTGTGATGTACTAGTATGCACAGATTTTCATGTTTTCAGATATGCCCCCTGCCAATATTTTTTATTTCATATCAACTATTTGAGTCTCCTACACCTCCTTTTGCCTTTGAAAAATCTAAGATATGGCAGGTCCATGATGTGCATCACTGGGTAACATTGCCTAACTACCATAAGTACACAATACAACCAAGGCCTAATGTTCCACCACCAGCTTCTCCACCAGCAAACAGGGTGTGGAACTGCAAGGGAGATGCCTTATTCATTCCAAATTTAGTACAGTGTCATGATTATAGCTGTGGCATTCAGCCAGTAAGCAACCTACTATGTAAAGTTAACCTACAATAACCCAATTAAGCCAAACAATGTGACTTTCCTTGAGCATTATGCCTTTAAACATTTGTAATATCAAAAGTATTCCTTGTCTGTGGTCTCAGAAGATCAAAGCAGTAAAAAACAGAAAAATACAATTATTTGCTCCAATTTATGCTGTGTATTCTATGTAGAGAAATATCGGACTGTGCATTTTCCTATATTTGAACTACAAATACACCTTGAATCACATCTGATTGCATAAAAAAGTAGTGCTCATAGTATTGAACATTAAAAACTATAAAAAAATCGAAAAAGAATCACAATTTGGCCTTAGTAAATTGTAAAATATAAATATAGTTGGTACATTTGTGTTGCAATTGCTGACAAGTGATCATTTTATCCCATGCCCACCATAAAATTGCAAGTTTTTATTAGATTTCACTCATTTTAGTTTTATTTGATTCATAAAAAGCACTCTTTCAATTTGTAAGAATTATTTTACCTTTCAAAAGCTTGTCACACAGGAATTTTAATTTTTGAGTATCCCACAGTTAAGGGGTTAATTTAAGCACCCTGCCATGCCATCAGTACTCAGTACATATGCCTCTCATAAGAATTCAATCTTGTGTTTGTGAATTAATTTTTTACTCTTTTATCAGCCTATCTCATTACTGGATAGTAACTGTGGCACCCAAGATGAATGTAAGTGATGCTAATAATTCCACGAAATTTGACCCTTAAACTGTCCAAACATAGATCTATGTTTGTACCGCTAGTCCTCCAAACATAGATCTACGTTTTATTTTTCCTGCCTCCAAATTTGGCATGATTGGCCTGAGATGCCTGGTCAGTATAGAATGGGTCTTAACACTCGGTGTGCACAGTATTAAAAAATCTGGGACCACTTATACCTTGTGGGAGCACCAGTTCAACTGAGCTCCAGCTAGAGCAAATAGCATGGCAAACACCAGGGATTCACTGCTGTCATGTCGTATTAACACTACTTTTAAGAGGAAAGTGATGTTGACCCAGAGTTTAGTGGCTTTGAGATGGATGTAGCCACAAGTGGTCGAGGAAATATAAAAAACCTTAATAATAATCCATGTGCAACATTTGTGCAACATCCTTTAGTGTCATCCTTCCAGAATGTCCTATAACCTATGCCCTAATTAAAGAGAAATGATTCTGGAACATGTGTAATACTTATGCTGCTGACCGACTGACCGACCGACCGACTGACCGACTTACTTACTTTGGCTGTCTCTCTGTCTGTATCTGTCTCTATATCTCTGTCTATCTACATTTAGCATTGCACATGCAATCAACTATGTCAGGCAAACATAGAATAAAGTGCCCCAGTCAGCATTAAATGCAAGCAGGGGAAAATTGTGGTCTCTTGTGGTGAATATTTTCACAAGTTTTCCCATAGTTAAGAGTCAAATCCTGGAAATTGTTCAGCTGAAAGGAAACTGCCCAGCGAGAGTTTTGAAGAAATGGAGTCAGAAAATGTGAATGTACTCTTGAAAGATGATAATAAAGAAAAAAAGTCCAGAGAAAATGTTGGCAGAGCTCAGTGCCAAATGAAAGGGAGGCAGAAATCAGATATGGGTTGGAGGAAGAAGAACCTACAGAGAAACAATTAACACTTCAGCAGTATGTCAGCAGTTTCATATTATTTGTAAAGTTACAGACTTTTTCACTGAAAATGACCCAGACACATCTAGAATCATTGCTGTAGAGTGGGGTATGGAGCAGCTTACGATGCCTTTCCATCAGCTATATATATAGTTCTGCTGGGTAAAGAGACCAGAGACACATTTCAAAATATTTGAGTACTTCAGTACAGCCTTCTTCAAGTGACAAAATTGCATCTACATCATTCCAAGAACCTCAGCCATCTTCCTGAGCCTACTATCTACAACCCTTTCCCTCTGCCCATTAGGGGCCACACTCTCCCTTACGAAGCCTCTCATAATCATCGACATGCATTAGCAACCAGAATTTATTGTAAGAAAACATTAATTTATATAATCTTTTTAGCTGCATGTAGTAGTCAAGAACTCTAAATTTAATATTCACATTATGTTATTATGTCAGTGGTGGACTGGTAGTGGATGATAGAGAAGAGATGGAGGGAGTGGAGTCATCCTTCCTAGTCCTCTTTGATGACTGTCCTACAGGCAGTTCCTGTATAGGATCTTTTTGAACTTTTTAATATTTTCAGTTTTATAGGGAAAACTGTTCATTATGTAAATGTTCATCATTCTCATTCATCATTTTCATTTTCAAAATGTTTAATTCATGGCACTGTAAAAAACAAGTTGGCATAAAGATAAATGTAGGAGACAGTTGGCCATATTATTAGATATCTGAGTAAAATGTGGGTTTTAAGTAATTCATATTCATATTCATATAGTTTATTTGGACATGATACATAGTTGTACAAGGAATTATAGTACTAGTTGGGTGTACATGCCAAAAGCCCCTTGTATACAGAGCATTATGGGCAGGCTTAAAGTTAACTTAAAATTAACTAAGCAATGATAGGTTCAGTGGTAAAAATTACTGTAAACAATTTACAGTATGAAGTACAATTGAGTATTTGAAACAATGAAATTTGAATATTTTGATTTTGAAGCATTATAGTTGTACAAATTTGTCGTATTACAGTGTATAACAAACTGTGAAGGCTTACTCAGCCCTGTAACAACTTCAGTCAGTATTACCAAGGCTGGCTCCTCCTCAGGAAAATTAATGAATAGAAAAAGAAATAATAACAGACAATGATAAACACTTTATTATTTAGAAACGGAAAATGTAAAACAATGAAACATGAATGGGTATCCTAATTGAAAGAAAAATGAAAAATTAAATGAAAAAAATTACATTTGAACTCAACGCTAATATAGGTATATCATGGTAATGGGGTGTCAGGTGTTGGTGACACTGCGTGTTGTTGAAATCATAGCCGTTGCTGATGTGGGGGGGGTAGCAGGTGTTGGTGATCACCACCGGCTCGTTCTTCACAGAGTGTAGCCGTGTATAATTACTTCAGATGACAGGAAAACAGGTTCGTTACCACTGCTATGATGAGGGTTAGGTCCTGTGTTGGCTTACATAACAGGTAAGTAGATTAAACATGGGACGTCTCAGAATGTTAGTCCGTCTCCTTCTATTCTACTCGTTGGTTGGCAGGTGACCCTCTCTGTCATTCCAAGCTGTAAAGAGAGAGAGATTACCCACTGCTTAAGAAATCACTCTCCATGATAAGTACAATACCTAAAAGATGTGGTAATTATTAAAACATTTAACCGATCAAGACTGAAAGGACTAAGTTAATTATTGGTTAAAAGTGAAGCTTTCAACCAATAAGTCCACTAAAATATGATCAGGCATGTACTTACAGAAGTGTTGGGAGCTGTGATTCGAGTGATTTACTGTTTGACCGGAGCTCCACACGTCACCTTTCGGGGGGGGGAAGAGGGAGGGGAAGGTATAGCAGGAGCTAGACTGACCCTATGTTAACAAGCAGCCGGCAATCAAACTATCATTTTCGGGGAGGGGGAAAAAAGGGGGGGGGGAATAGCGGGAGCTGGACTTACCCTACCTTAACACGTAGCCGGCAATGAAACTATTGTTACTATACACTCCCTCGCTACTCCTATCTATTGAACTTTTCCCTCACACTCCCCCATACCAAGACTTATAGTCAAGGAGTATAAGAAGAATAGGCGAGGAAAAAGTTCTAACATGTGGAAGTCGCGTAAGGCAACAAATCTTCTACTGACTGTCACGACTTAATCAGTCAGAGAAATAATTGGATGAACTATTGATATACACAATATGGAACTTAAAAGCCTGGAGTGCCCATGTCCACCTCAAGAGGCGACTGTTGGTTCCCTTAAAAGTTTCTAGGTATATCAGAGGTTTGTGGTCCGTTTCTAAAATGAATTCTTTTCCCAGTAAATAAAATTTAAACTTGGAGATACCCCACACAAGAGCCAAACATTCCTTTTCTGTGGTGGAGTATCTCGTTTCTGCAGGAGGGAAGTTTTAGATTTAATAAATATAACAGGATTTAGGAGTGTGTGTATTTTGTGCAGTAAGCACCTGACA